TATAGTTTGTGGAGCTGATATATGAAATAAATCGTGGTTTCAGTCCCAATGCAAATCTAGGATTTTGTCAGATGTGTTTTTGTCTAAATGTAGATCGATTTTTGAATCAGCTGATTGCGTATTAGTGTTAAGAATATTTGTATGTATTTTGTGTAAAGTAAAATTATGTTGATTTAGTTAGGTTTGCACTGTCAACAAAAACTAAATTAAAAAACAATATGGTTATGGTTGCCGACGAAAACAAGTAAGTGAACGTATTTTTATTTATTTTACTATTAGATAAGTTATTTAGTATTATTAAAAATTAAGTAAAGGTATTTTGATGCTTTAACGAGCCTTTACCAGAAAAAATTTATTATAAATACATAATTTCCAATTATAATATTAAATTTTATATGTCCACTTCAAACGTAAATTTTAAGAACAAATATTTTTTTTAATTTTCCTTCTGATATTGATCGAAGAAAGAAATTGTGCCACATTTTAAACATTTCACCTGAAACCAATCATAAATTATGAGATAATTTTAATACAAAATCGATTACAAACAAATCGTTCAAGAGTAAGACTGCTGTACCTTTACCTTTAACCTTAAAACCAGATACACCAAAGATAATAGTACTTAGTAATGTTATCACACCTCCAAATAGATTTCCTGTGTTACATTTTAATAATATAGATAAAAATTTCAAAGACACTCACTTATAAAATGAATTTTAATATAACATAAAAAACAACGTTTCGATAATGGATTTTTAAATAAAATTAATGAAACTCGAGTTAATCTCCTAGAAAGAAAAAATTTAATTTTTTTAATAGGAAACAGAAAAGTCAAATTTGCAAATTAAAAAATGCCCTATAATTAACTCCTATAATGTAACATTTAAACTGCTGTTCAAATTTCAAAATCAAAGATCTTTCAACAGTTTAATTCAAAACTATTATTATGATAATAGGTTTGTTCGGGCTTCTTTAAAACTCGATGCAAACCGTCTGAGAACCAGTGGAACAGTTTAATTCCAAATTATTCGTGGCATACAACTATTAAACTGTCCAATCCTCAACTAGTCCTCTGATAGTTCTCAATGTATTTTTGAAGAACCCGAACAAACCTAGTATGAGGCCGTGGTAATGTTTTAAAGAACAAAAAGATAAAAAAATTGATTGAAGTTACTGTATTTAATTTTTTTTCTGTTTCAGTTTTTATGGATGGTTGCTTTTATCTTATGTTCCCAAGATTTAAGATTTTTTTTGTTCATTGAGAAAATTTTTTTAACATTAGTTTTTTTAAATCAAGTACATGAACTATTTATTTTACAATTTTTTGTTTTCATTATTTTAACCAAAGATACTTAACGTACCTAAATAGTAATATAATGTTTGTGATATTAGACTAACTTTCTTAAGATAAGAAATATTTGGAAAAACAATTTATAATACTAAAATTAGTTTTTAAGCCAAACTCATTAGATAATCTTTAGAGAATAATATTTTCATGAAATTAGGAGTATTTTTTATAGAAACTAGTAAACATTTGTAAAAATGGATTGTACTTTGTAACAATGATGGTAGGTGGGGTTATCCGGGTTTTCCTCACCTGTAAATAAAATGGCACCATCACTACCATCAGTCATCTTTAAGTCGTCCCAGAGTGCCATAGCAAATATTAATAGCTATTCTTGCCTCGCACAAGCTCTTCTTGGGATTTAACTCATATGGAGGTGAAGTGTAAGAAAATCTAATATTGTTGTATTGCCATTTATTTGATTTATTTATTTTGCTTGAGAATTTTTAGTAAATATAAAATTATATGAAGCTTTGTATGGAATTTATTTTACCCCTCATAATTATTTGTCATAGAATTTTATATTTTAATTGGCATTTCATAATTTTTACAAACAGCTAATAAAAAAGCAAAATTTTAATTATAATTAAGAGGAAAATTTACTTCAGCAATTATCTTTTTCTAACCAATACGAAATAGAGCATTTCTATAGTTTATTTCACTTTTTTGTGAATAAAAAATATGTACCTTCAAATAAAAGTGAAATTATTCCGAAATTTGATTTAATTATTTTTCTCAAAAATTGAGAAAATCATTACACAAACAAAACTTTACGTTTTTTGCCATCAAAATTTGTTCTAATTTTAAAAAAGTGGCTCCAGAGGAACATATTTAACGTTTACCTACACGTACATGTTTTTTATTTCATTAAAAATAAAAAACGAACTGAAATTTTGGATAACTATATTTTGTATTAGATAGAAAATAATTGTTAATATAAATTCTCCTTTTAGTAAAAAAAAAACCGCTAATTTTCAAATTAAATATATTACGGGTAGCTACATTATTGACAGAGTAATAGCGTAGTCAATATTATGGATTCGTTTAACCACCCGCACCCACAGGTCGCCGCAAGCAAACTTGTTGCCAAATTTCTACAAAGACACGGCAACTCTTAACTATCCTTCCTTCATGTTTAGTAATGAACTAGCAGCTAAAGAGAATTGAAGTTTTTTTTTAAATCCTACAGGCAAGAAATGGAGAAGATTTGTGGCCGAATGCTGCAATTGTTAATTCGATACATTCAAAAGGTTGTGAGGGTGTGTCACGCCAAAGTAATGTTTGTAAAAATGTTTGGATAGGGTCAGAGATAAGAGAGATAATAACGACCAGCTTTAACGCACTTAACACCTGACCCACTATGTGGCGCTTTCATCGATATCATACAACGTAGCGGGAAATTTAAAAACCTGATAATAAAGGTTATATAAATATCGACTGCATTCTCATATTCTTATAAATAAATTTAAACAATATAATTACGCTAAATTATTTATTAAAAAGAATACTACACTTACAATCTATTATCGATTAATTATTGTAAATCTATTCTTGACAAATATTTTTTAATTTTTGATCGTTATTTGTAACATAACACTTCTGTTTTTATTTTTCAAACGAATGGCCAATGGTGTCTTATTTAAAAAATTTTAGTACAAACTCAATAATGGGAGTTCAGGTATTTTTCTTCCTATATCAAATCTTCTTTCTAAAGTTTTGAAACCATTTTCTTGTTCTAAAATAATAAATAATACATAAATACCTACTTTGTGACAAAAGTTGGTTCCTATTTGTGTTGCTTACAAGACTAGATTTTTTTTTGGTTAATTAAAGAACGCCACATTGAAGTTGTTAAATTTATTCATGTGGCATGTGATACTTATACAATACGTTCTCCGACTTATTGTAACATTACAAAATATAATTATTAATTTAAATTCAGGATTCTTCGATTAACATAAAACTAACTGACATTTACATTTACAAACTATCCACTGCTGTTCACGTCTACTGTCTGTCTCAGTGTTGCCAATCATACGATTTAAATCGTATTTATACGATTTTTTAACTCTCTGTACGATGTACGATTGCATTAGTGAGATCGTACGTAAAAATATGATCTTCACTTTTTTAGTAGGTTTATTTAAATATCGGCAACAACTTCAGAACATAAAACAATAAAAATCAAAAACTACTTGCAAAGATTCATAGGCCGTTCGTAATTTCTAAAGGCAGTCAGTTTTGTTCTCACTTATCGTGATTTTGACCATGGTGATTTTGTATCAACACAAACTATGACGGCATAAGAAAAGCTTGCATGCAAAATTTCAATCACTTTCTAGTGACAGTCATTGATTACTTTATGTGTTAATTTAAAGTTTCATGTATTTTCTTTAGTTATTTTTTTCGTTGTAAACATTTTTATAAATAGATAAATAAATTATCATGCCAAAGTTTTTTTTTATTTTTTCATTCTATTTAAGCTATATTAAGCTATACATGTACCTATTGTACGATTTTTTTTTTCGAAATACTATTTTTCTACTCTACTTTTACGATATCTTAAAAAAATATTTGGCAAACGGTCTATCTGCAAACGAGGTATATTTTTAGTTAAAATTTGAGACGCATAGATGCCGCCATCGTTGCTGCGGTCGTTACGTTTCCTATCTTTATGTCTTTTATCCCTGGTTAGGGTTAATTTGTATTTGTATGTACATTTTTTGTATGTCACCTATTAGAACATATTTAACAAAACGGAAACTACATAGTATATTAAAAAGAGGTGGCTGCACCTACGGTCCTCTAGTTTCTATTGTACCGCTTTCTTTTATGACACATAAGTGAGGAACAAAATATTTATTATTATTATTATTATTATTATTATTATTATTATTATTATTATTATTATTATTATTATTATTATTATTATTATTATTATTATTATTATTATTATTATTATTATTATTATTATTATTATTATTATTATTATTATTATTATTATTATTATTATTATTATTATTATTATTATTATTATTATTATTATTATTATTATTATTATTATTATTATTATTATTATTATTATTATTATTATTATTATTATTATTATTATTATTATTATTATTATTATTATTATTATTATTATTATTATTATTATTATTATTATTATTATTATTATTATTATTATTATTATTATTATTATTATTATTATTATTATTATTATTATTATTATTATTATTATTATTATTATTATTATTATTATTATTATTATTATTATTATTATTATTATTATTATTATTATTATTATTATTATTATTATTATTATTATTATTATTATTATTATTATTATTATTATTATTATTATTATTATTATTATTATTATTATTATTATTATTATTATTATTATTATTATTATTATTATTATTATTATTATTATTATTATTATTATTATTATTATTATTATTATTATTATTATTATTATTATTATTATTATTATTATTATTATTATTATTATTATTATTATTATTATTATTATTATTATTATTATTATTATTATTATTATTATTATTATTATTATTATTATTATTATTATTATTATTATTATTATTATTATTATTATTATTATTACTATTAGTCTTTTTTGAATTTAATAAATATGCCAACTGGAACAGGAAATAGTAGTGGGACAAATAAATGCAAAAGATGTAAAAACAATGTGACCACAGGTCTGAAATGCATTATCTGTGGAGTGCTCTCTCACAAAAGCTGCTTGTTAAAAGTTAAATACGCTACAATCATTGATGATAACCTTTGCAATTGCTGCATCGATGCAAATAACGATGCTAACAATGAACCATTATCTGTTGCTGACGATAAACAAATAAACAATACTACGGAACTTGAGCTTAAAGTTAATTTTCTTGAAGAAATCATAAAAAATAAAGACATCATCATTTTCAACCAGGGGATAGCTATCAATGCATTACAAGATCAAGTTGTGCTGCTCAAAAATAGTGTCAGTAAGCCGGATACAGTGCAATCTCATGAGGTTGAAAAACAATTTATGTCATTAAAAGAGCATCGTAATGGCTCGGAAAATCCGATGAATTTAAATCAGGGCCGTGCTCCATTCACTAATGCTTCCGTATCCAATGCTATTGCTTCCGCACACACTTCCAATCATTGTAAAAAATTTATAGATTTGAATAACGATCATATCATACACTCCAACAACACATTCAGAACACGAGACGCAGTGAAACCAAGGAACCTACTTACTGGCAACATGAATACTACATCGAACCTAAATCTTAAGGCATCCGAGTCGCAAGGAATTAAATATCTTCATTCCACAAACTGGGATCCACAAACTTCCACCGAGGAACTTACTAAATATTTACAAGGAATTATTCCAAGCCTAAGATTAGAGAAATTAAACTCTCGTTATCCTCAAGAATACGCCTCTTTCAAATTATCGGTTCCAAACTCAGAAGTAAACAAAATTATGTATCCTCAAGAATACGCCTCTTTCAAATTATCGGTTCCAAACTCAGAAGTAAACAAAATTATGAAATCGGAATTATGGCCCAGCGGAGTGTTGATAAATGAGTTTTTTCCGTCAAAAAGACTCAACCAATATACCCAGCAGTTTAATGACCAAAAATAACTCAAATGGCTCATATGTAATGTCTATTTTTCACATAAATGTGCGGAGTTTAGCAAACAAGTTACATGATTTGTCAATTTTTCTTCATGAAAATCCATTTGAAATTATTTGCATTTCAGAGCACTGGTTAGAAAAGTGTAATTTAGAGGTGGTAAAATTAAATGATTATCTATTAGTATCAGATTATAACCGTCCTAAAAACTCCCATGGAGGTGTGGCAATATTTGTAAAACAACATGTAAGATGTAAATCAATATGTTTGGATGATTTTTGTGTTCAATACGATGCCGAATTTTGTGGAATAGAACTAAAAAACTGTTCTACTGTTTTGATTTCACTGTATAGGTCATCAAGTAGAAACAATTTTCTCATTTTTAAAGACTGTTTGTTAAAACTAATTGCATATTTGTATACTAAATATAAATATATCATATTAATCGGTGATTTTAATATAGATTTTACTAAGAAGGATGACAAAGCTCAAGAAATTTGCAATATATTCCTAACCTATGGATTGAATTACACTATCACTGAACCCACCAGGGTGGTTTTTAATAGTGAATCTTGCTTGGACAACATTATTACTAATCTGAACTCGGATCTCATTAGAGTAGGTGTAACAGATCCACATATTTCCGATCATAATGGTCAATTCATTTATTTTAATATGTCGTCTGAAAGAAACAATTCAAAAAATATTAGTACAAAGAAAAGAATTATAACAAATAAGGGAATTAGGGACTTTGTAAATAATTTATCAAATATATCTTGGGAACATATGAATTTAGACCTTATTAGCGCTAGAGAACTAGAAACATTTTTAATGAATACTCTGCATAGTAATGTTGATATATGCTTCCCAGAAAAAACTATAAAAAATAAAAAACAAAATATTAAATGGTTTACCAATGAACTACGTAGCTTAAGGAACGATGTTAATAATGCACAAAAATTGTATAAACAAACCCGCTCTAAAACCGATTGGGATGTTTATGTAACTCTAAATAAATCTTATCGAAAATCAATCAGGGAAGAAAAAAGGAAAGCATATAGCGATATTATAAATAATTCGGATAACAAACCAAAATCTTGTTGGGACATTATAAATTCGGAAAGGAAAAACAAATCTAATAAAACATTCAATTCATCTATTTCCGCTGACAATTTTAATGAATTTTTTCTTGCTATTTCGCAAACAGTATTGCAGTCGATTAGCCACGCGAAGTATGAATCAAGTTTCTTTTTAAACAAATTAAGGAAACCCACTTTTTCATTTTTTATGAGCGCTATATTGGAAAGCGATGTACATCAAGCTATTTCTAAGTTAAGCAACTCATCATGTCTGGATTTCTACAACATGAACAGTGCAATGGTAAAAGAATCTATACATCTTCTGGTTAAACCACTCACTTTATTATTTAATAAATGTGTTGAAATGGGATATTGGCCAGACTCGTTTAAAATTTCAAAAATATTACCGCTACATAAAAAAGGAGATGTGGATTCTCCAAACAACTATCGGCCAATAGCGATTGTACCTGTTATAAATAAAGTACTGGAAATTATCATAAAGGATAAACTGATTTCTTATTTCGAGTCAAAATCACTTTTATCAAAGTTTCAGTTTGGGTTCCGGAAAAATAAATCCACCATAAATGCCTTAATTTGTTTCTTGGAAGAAATAGTAAAATATATTGATGATGGCCACAGTACAGTAGCGACTATGTGCGACCTAACCAAGGCATTTGATTGCATTCCTACGGATCTCCTACTACATAAATTGGAGTTTTACGGTATTCGAGGAAGAGAATTAGACTTACTGAGCTCATATTTGACCAATAGAATGCAGTATGTAGTTTATGGTGATAAGGAATCCTCATTGCGCCCTATTTCTAGTGGCGTACCTCAAGGTTCAATTTTAGGTCCCATTTTGTTTATTATATACATCAATGACCTGCCTAGTGCAATCGAAAATTTTTGTGTGATGTTTGCAGATGATACCACTTTTCTTTCGGTCGATGAACAAAAAGGAGACACAAGACAGATAGGTGACTGGTTTTCAGCAAACCGTTTAAAAATGAATGAGTCAAAAACCAATGATCTACTCATAAGCTCAGACAAATGGGCCTCGAAATCAAAACCGGTTAAACTTCTGGGGATATATTTGGACACAAGTCTAAATTGGACACCGCATGTTGATTACCTCTGTTCCAGGTTAGCAACACAAATATTTGTGATGCGTCAATTAAAATCATGTGTACCTGTCAATATACTTAAAACTATATACTTTTCACTAGTTCATAGTAATATTGCATATGGCGTACTGTTATGGGGAAACTCCACAAACGCTCATAGAGTTTTCGTTCTACAAAAGACCGCAGTTCGATTATTAGATAATTCTGCAAATAACACCCCTTGCCAACCAATTTTTAAAAAACTTAAAATATTGCCTCTTCCTTCCATGTATATTTTTGAAACACTACTAGAAACACATTATAATTTAAATAACTTAAATAACCACAACAATATACACAATTATAACACCCGTTTCGGACAAGATATAGTCCTCAAAAAATCGAGGATTCAAATGACCAAAAATAACTCTTTAGATGTTTCACTATATAACTCATTTCGCAAGTACTTTGAATCCAAAGATATCGGAAGCATGGCTAAAGGCAATTTTAAAAAAATTGTTAAAGGGTTTCTACTTGAGCATTGCTTTTATAGCATAGAAGAATTTATAAAGAAATTAAATTCGTAACTTGTTTGCTAAATTCGCATTATCATTACCCTAATATGTATTATGATTGTAGTTTTATTTTTTATTTTTTAACTTCTAAATTGTTTTGTTTTATTTTTGAACTTTTAAATTGTTTTATTATTGAACTTTTAAATTGTTTTATTTTTGAACTTTTAAATTGTTTTATTTTTTAACTTTAAATTGTTAATTTTAAAATGTTTGTAGCTGTTTAACATAGGATTCTAAAATTTTGTTCCAATGTACCATTAATATTAATTTTTGTGACTTCAAACATAACTGTATGTATGTATAATGTGGTCAATAAACTACTATCTATCTATCTATCTATCTATCTATTATTATTATTATTATTATTATTATTATTATTATTATTATTATTATTATTATTATTATTATTATTATTATTATTATTATTATTATTATTATTATTATTATTATTATTATTATTATTATTATTATTATTATTATTATTATTATTATTATTATTATTATTATTATTATTATTATTATTATTATTATTATTATTATTATTATTATTATTATTATTATTATTATTATTATTATTATTATTATTATTATTATTATTATTATTATTATTATTATTATTATTATTATTATTATTATTATTATTATTATTATTATTATTATTATTATTATTATTATTATTATTATTATTATTATTATTATTATTATTATTATTATTATTATTATTATTATTATTATTATTATTATTATTATTATTATTATTATTATTATTATTATTATTATTATTATTATTATTATTATTATTATTATTATTATTATTATTATTATTATTATTATTATTATTATTATTATTATTATTATTATTATTATTATTATTATTATTATTATTATTATTATTATTATTATTATTATTATTATTATTATTATTATTATTATTATTATTATTATTATTATTATTATTATTATTATTATTATTATTATTATTATTATTATTATTATTATTATTATTATTATTATTATTATTATTATTATTATTATTATTATTATTATTATTATTATTATTATTATTATTATTATTATTATTATTATTATTATTATTATTATTATTATTATTATTATTATTATTATTATTATTATTATTATTATTATTATTATTATTATTATTATTATTATTATTATTATTATTATTATTATTATTATTATTATTATTATTATTATTATTATTATTATTATTATTATTATTATTATTATTATTATTATTATTATTATTATTATTATTATTATTATTATTATTATTATTATTATTATTATTATTATTATTATTATTATTATTATTATTATTATTATTATTATTATTATTATTATTATTATTATTATTATTATTATTATTATTATTATTATTATTATTATTATTATTATTATTATTATTATTATTATTATTATTATTATTATTATTATTATTATTATTATTATTATTATTATTATTATTATTATTATTATTATTATTATTATTATTATTATTATTATTATTATTATTATTATTATTATTATTATTATTATTATTATTATTATTATTATTATTATTATTATTATTATTATTATTATTATTATTATTATTATTATTATTATTATTATTATTATTATTATTATTATTATTATTATTATTATTATTATTATTATTATTATTATTATTATTATTATTATTATTATTATTATTATTATTATTATTATTATTATTATTATTATTATTATTATTATTATTATTATTATTATTATTATTATTATTATTATTATTATTATTATTATTATTATTATTATTATTATTATTATTATTATTATTATTATTATTATTATTATTATTATTATTATTATTATTATTATTATTATTATTATTATTATTATTATTATTATTATTATTATTATTATTATTATTATTATTATTATTATTATTATTATTATTATTATTATTATTATTATTATTATTATTATTATTATTATTATTATTATTATTATTATTATTATTATTATTATTATTATTATTATTATTATTATTATTATTATTATTATTATTATTATTATTATTATTATTATTAT